AACTATTTCAAAAAGAAATACAAGGCCAGCTAAGAACTAAAAAGAAAGCAGGTACAGTACACTAATAGGGTCTCAATGCCTGAAAATAGCATGCTCAATGAATGTGTGTGTGGATGAGTGAATGCAAGAAGAAATAGGTGAAAAGGAGCCAATATTCCTTATGCGTGTGAATAACATACCACATGGATGCCATGAAAATATCTTGATTCTAGACAGATTTCTCACACCATCCAGCCCACTTGAGACTACTTTCTTAAAGGTCAACCAATTTATGATCAGAAAGCCAACTTTAATAGTGGAAAGGTAAATCCCATGCCCTGAAATTTATATAATGTATTTGAAAGCTAGGTGAAAATTGAGAATTATCTGCCTCACCGCACTCTATAAACTGAGTTGACTGTTTTTTTTTTTTAAATAGAAGCCACAGACTGGGATAGAATGTGTTTTAGCTATCACTAAAAAATATTCAAAAAGAACTTCTCTAGACTGTAAGCTCCTAGAGGACATTGGCAATGCTTTCTCATCTTTGAACTCCTGTCCATGTTTGCAGGGAGCAGGGATTCAAAACATGTGGACTGAACGAATTAATGTTTTTGTCTTTGCCACAAAGCACCTGAAATTGGCAACAACCTTTCAGAAGGCTAAAAAAAAAAAAAAAAAGTCTGCAGAAACAAGCTATCAGTTTGGAAATATAAAGTTCAATAAATTGTTAGCTGCCATTGAGTCCCACCTGACTCATGGTGATCCAAGGTTGCAGATTGGACCACTGTGAGCCACAGGGTTTTCATCAGCTGATGCGCAGAAGCAGACCACCAGGCCTCTCTTCCTAGTTGTCTTAGTGTGGAAGCTTCACTAAAACCTGTTCAGGGTAACAGTAACACACAAGCCTCCACTAACAGACGGGTGGTGGCTGCGAATGAGGTGCATTCGGCCGGAAGGGCTGTTGCATGAAAGGAGAGAGTTTTACCACTGTTGAGTACTGGTCTAATACAATCATTCATTCAACATTTACTGAGTACCTGCCATGTGCCTGAGGGTTTGTGACTACAAAATAGACAAGGTCTTTGCTCTCATACAGGTTCAGGCAATAGCCATACATAGCAAAAACTGTTGTAAGTGCTATCTATAAAGAGCATTGTGTAATTTGGGGAAGTTGAATTTAAGCTGGAGAATGTCAAAATAGGCCTCTTTTTAAGGTGGGATCTGAAGAATAAATAGATGTTGACTACGGAAAGCGTGGCGCAGAGTATACCAGCTTGTGAACACACACAGCTCAACAGCATGGCAAGGCATTGTGTGGGCTCAGAAGTGGGACAAGCGCGAACGAAGGGGGGCGGACAGAGGGCAGCCGCGCGACTTGGTATTTCGTTCACTGCAGTGTTGTGAACAAGGGTGCGACACTCTATTCACGTTTTAGGGGGTCGCCTCACACTCCCGTCCCTGCTGTGTATCATTTCAGTCATTCAACTAAAACGGCTGCTAAGTGTAGACCCTGGTCCCTGGTCGGTTCCTTTCTGCCCCGCGCGCAGAGTAGGGTGGCCGCGAGGGACCCCCGCCCCGGGCAGAAAGCCCACGCTTGGAGGAGTGTTGCCGGGGAGAACGCGGGCGACCGGTGGTCCGAAAGCGTCTAATCCCTCCAGCGCAGGGATAATCACCTGAGCGGCTTAACACCTCCCACTCTTCCGGTCCGCAGAAAATCGCGGCCAAAGCCAAGAGCTCCTCCTG